GTTTCAGGGGGTGGTATTTCTTTTTTTTCATTCTTTTTTTTTTTGGGGGGGGGGGGTTTTTTGGTTTTTTTTATTTTCCCTTTTTAAAAAACAGTTCTTTGTTTCAGGTCAGGTGTTTTGGAATCTGTATTTGTTTAGCAGCTTTCCTAAATTTTTAAGTGTAGGGTGTTCAAAGCAGAACATTCACTTGTTACTGACCACATGTTCTTGAAGCTGCTTTTTGTTCACAGCATGCTACCGTATTGCGTAAAGGAAAACAATTAAGTGCAAGCACAGTGTGCACCTAAAATATCTCACATTATATTATAGAAGTTAGGCTTATACCAGTTAGGCTTATTATCCCCATGCTGTTCTGTAACATCAGATACAGCTTTAAGGCATTCCAAGCATGTTATTTAAAGGTTTTGTGTATTTTCACTCTTGCCCTAAAAGCTATATGAAAAGACCCTTTCCCCACTGCATGATAGTTCTTTTTAATTGCTTTTGCATGTCCCCCATGGGTGTGCCCAGCTCCCCATTCCCATGAGAGTAATTTGCCTATTATGCCTAAAATGGCCAGAATTTAACACCAAGATTTCCCCATCCCCTATAGATATAATTTGCTGAATTTTGAGCACAGATGGCTTCACCCAGCGAATTGAACCTGGCTCAATTCGCCCATCACTATCCTTTTAATGTAAACACGCAGCATGTGTTTATGGTCTGGACACAGATGCACTTTAAACCAGCACACATTAATATGTGGCATAAGGAACATTCAGCCTCCTAAAGGAACCGAAATAATGAGAATCCAGCCTAATACACCATTGTTTTTTTAATATAAACTGTGCAAGTTTCTGAATTTGACTGCCATTAGCGCCCTCCATATCCCTGTGCAGCAGAGATTAAATTGGGAGCAGGAAATGCAGCGGGGAAAATGCTTGCTGTTCGGAAGAGAGAGCAGAGTGGCATGCTCTTCAGTGTGATTCTTCTTCTTCACTATTCAGTCACAGATTAAGAGCTCTAAGTCTTAATGAACTACAGTAGAGCAATACAATCGGGTCTTCTGCCCTACTTGGCAGGACTCTCAGGCAAAGCTTTTTAAATCTCAGAACTGAATTAACATGAATAGAAATTCTTTGGCAGATAAAACAGCTCTCTGACGTGTATTTAATTTGTGTAATTTGGTTGTTTGATAGTGTATAACCTTGCGAACACTGCAATTGCATTAAGATGAAATACAGTGAGCTCGTAAGTTCCTGCAGTGAGCTGAGAACACCTAATTCTCTTGCTGGACTACAGAACAACAACCCCCCCCCCCCCCATTATATGGAGGTGAGTAGAGAGGAAGGTTTTTTTGTAGTTCAGCAAGGGGAGAACTCAGACAGGGAAGGGAAAATGTATATGTATTGCAGTGATGTACTGAATGATATTATTACTATTATTATTATAATCATTATTATCATTATTATTATCATGCCCCCACATACTCATTCATCACACTCTGCGACAAAGTCTGTCAATCAACCCCTATTACAGTTTCCATCCGTCTGTATTTAAATCTATGAACTGTATAGGAAAATTTACTTCCTAGCATAGGAATATAAAACCTTTTAAACCTGACATGTAATAGCCCTATAAACCACTGTAATGGCTGCTTTATAATCTATATATCTCACAATGTAGGATGTATGGTCTCATACGAACTGATAGCCTAATACTCCTTAATGACAGCTGGGAATTTTAGGTGTTCCAGCTCTTCCTGTTCCATTGTCCATAATAAAAAAAATAGGGGAGAGCAGGAACACCTAATAATGAGTACAGAAGGTGGGCAGATACAGGAATTCAGCGCAGATAGTGAGTCCCCTAGAGAGATTTTCCTCTCTTAACTCCTGATGGTTCCTGTCTACCTAGTAGTTATACGTGTTTCCATCCACCTTTGTGTGTTCCAACACCTCCTGTTCCATTGTCAATAATAAAACAAAAAACATTAAAAACTCAACAGGGAGTGTAGAAATGCCTCATAATGAATACAGAATGTGGGCAGATAAAGCAATTCAGCACAGATATCTCACCAACTGAGTCCTCTATTGATAAAAGAAATGATCAAATGATTTGAAGTGTATGTATAGCCAAAACTTTAAAAAGTAGAGTTACAATCCCCTTTACGTTATTTGTTTTGTTTGTCCTGCTGGAGCGATTTCTCTTCAATGCCTGTCTTACAAGAAGCTTTGATTAAAGGAAGTGAAAGGAAATCTCCCCAAAGTGAGGCAAATTCCCATCTTAGCCAGTTGTCACTGGAACATGTGTCTCTAATGGAAGATTTCCTTTAAATCTTGCTCTTATGTTAGCTCATGTTTTGTCTTCCCATACACTCTAACTATCTACTAAATCTGAAATATCAGCTTTGGGTGGACCTTTTACTAGCACAGGCCCTATCAAATATGTAAAAGCATATGCATAATTTATAGATTCTGGAATTGGTGCTGAAAAGCTGGACTCCAGGCTTGGTGGTGGTTCCAAATAAATCAAATGATTGTTCAAGTGCGGCACCTCCATTTTGCTAGGTGCAGCCCCAATGGGGTTTCAGGGAGGCTCAACTTGAGTGAAAGGATAAGAGCACCAGGGATTGGCCTGTCATGGCTGTCAACTCTTGATAGACCCTTTTATACTGACAAAAATTTGGTCCAATCCCTATGGTTTGGAACTCTCATCTTTTCACATATCACATAATTAGCTCTATCTGCTTGTCCTCGTCAGCTGTTTATCCAATGATGAAATGGCTTACCTGTATCTGGACAGCAGTTTCCATTCTTGCTCCTCTGCAGCTGAAAATAAATTTTTCGCGTAGCTATTCCCTTATTTATATGGTTGAAGAAAAACAGTACACCCATCCATTTGTTTTCATATGAAATTAGATAATGGAATTAGATAATAATTCCTAATGTACTGTTAACATTATGCTTGATAAAAAAATATTATATCACTAATGTTTTCACATTCTACCAGAGTAAAGTGCTTAATGATTACAATACAATCATTACAATTTTTAAATTAACATATCAACACAAAAAAAAAAATTAATTGTCCATTATTAGAGAAGAGTAAGCTACTCAAAATTTGCTCCATCTGTGATTTGAGTGCATTTGGACCCAACAGTTGTTTTTTCAGAGAAATTTGGATGTAAACCACAGAAAGCATGAAAATGATGTTTCATTTGGGTTCTTTACTTATACTTCTCTTTCCTTCAGTAGAACCAAAGAGAAGATGCCTTGTGTATGGTCCAACTGGCTCTTGTTGGCACTTACACAAGGCTAGAGGCTCTCTCCTCACCTCCATATGACAGCCCTGGCGGCTGGTGATTGTTCCGTCAAGCAGCAAGCACTGGGGAGAGGCGAGTGAGTCACATGCTTTCCATACTTATTGTTCACTGCACTTTTCTCTATAGGTTGAACTTCTCTATAGGTTGAACTCGATGGACTTGTGTCCTTTTTCAGCCTGACTAACTATGTAACTAAGTGATACTAATCTTAGGAGTTAAATCTTAAAAAGTACCTCTGGTATTATCAAAAATGTATCTTATTTGTGTATCACTCGGCTGTAGATCCTCAAATCATCTCTGAATAGGTGCTGACACTGTCCTTCCTTCTGGAGGGTGGCTACTTTTGTTTCCCTAGGTCCCTGTGTGTGTTGTAAAGTAGTCACCACTCCAAGATCGCTCCTTGATGGACTACAAGCTCAATGCAAATTAGTAAACTAAACATGAGATTGTAGTCCATCACAGGAGAGAGCTTACGGTGTTGGATACTTTACATCACATTGGGAACATGTAGAACAAAAGTAGCCACCCTCCAGATAGAAGGACAGTGTCAGCACCAATTCAGAGATGATTTGAGGATCCACAACTGAGTGTTTTACAAATAGGCTACATTTTGGATAATAGTTATGGAACTTGAATGCATTTGTAGCACCCCCTGGCCCCAGAGGCCTGAGGTGGACCCCAAAAGGGCAGAGATGGCTGACATTTCACTCTCGGGGGCAAAAGCCAGTGAAGGGATAAGTGATCAAGAAGTTGGGTGCCAGTCACTTTAAGTGTCTTTTCAAATGTTCGAGCCGTCCTTCGGATGTCAGACGGAACCCTCCACCTGTCATTCTTTACTTGGAGGCGTCGCTACCACTTAGTTTCGAATAGAGCCGCGGCTATGTGGGTGGAGAGTTTAACAGAGGCTGACAAGCCAACCAACCAACATACTCCACGTCAGCAGGGAAACGTGCTCTGATTGGTCAGAGTTCGATCTTAAGCATAGGTCTCTGGCAAGGCTAAGATCAAGGTTCTGATGAAGGGGGCATGCCCCTGAAATGCGTTAACCACGAGACATAGCGGTGAGGAAAGTCAGGAGAGACTGACAACAGCGGGTCTAACAGGGATTCCCCTCTTAAAAGGTTCCGTTGTGAGAGCAGCCCATGCACATTACTGCGCTTTGTTCTACGTACATTTGTGAGTACATTTTTAACTTTTAATTTGATAAAATAATCCTTCACATGGAGGTGGCACTCTGTGTTTGTCTTTTTGAATGTGCTGATGAGAATCCCTAAATCTCCAAGATGAGCAGTCCCTGAACAGACAAGGATCAAGTTCCTGCAGGAGACGGTCAAAAGGTTCTTTTTTTGGTGTTGAGTCTTTTTCATATGTTGTTGAGATTTTATATTTGATAATAAAAGGCTGATATGGCCATTTAACTCCATAAGTGTTGTCTGGTTATTTGGGGGAGAATTGGAGGAAGTTTTGGGTGACCTAGCAGTTTTTTGTAGGTGTGGTAGCTGGGGAAATTCTCCCTTAGGCAAGTGTAACATGCACACGTGAAGTATGACTACTTATGCTTCACAATCCTCAGCGGGACAGCCTATGTAAAGCTGAGACCACTTCCTCATACCATCTTCCTCTTTGGTTTCACTTTGTCGAAACTTTAAAACTTACAGTTGATGAACTTGCCTTTGTGGCAGCACCAAGCTCTGCCAAGATGGCATTGTGCTACACATTAATTGTGACGTACTGTCTGGTAGTTTTAGGAAGAGCGGACACTGGGAACCCAGGAGCAGTGGTGAGAATCACACAGAAGGGACTGGACTATGGTATGTTGTTCATTCATTTTTTCTGACAGCAATACTGTCAGTTTACATAGTTGTACAAGAAATTCAGTCACTCTGCATTTTTTACACCCAGAGCGATGACTCCCATTGATCTGCCTATAAAAAAAAATGTGTCTTTCTTTTGGCACAGGAGACAATTTAGAAATTCTGACTACACTTGGCTTCTTTATATGTTTGTTATGGGACAGTGACTCACAAGAGGCTGAAGGTAGACACAGCCAAGAAACCAGATCAGCAATTGCAAATCATTTATTTCTATCTACACAGGTTTTCTTATATATACAGTATGTGTGTGTGTATATATATA